CTAAGGTCTTTTGCCAACCAAAATGACCCTCCGTGTCATGGCATTCTCCCTGGATCAGACTGCGGATCTCCTCGCTATTGGGGATGCACAATCGGTCAAAAACATTAGTCTTCTMAAAAAGCAACCCTTCAGTAGTGCGGTAGTTCGGCTCGGTCTCTGGGGCCTCCTTGACTTTCTTAAGGAGCTCACCATAGATAGGGTCCTGCGCGTAGGCTTCTCTAACCTTCTGCTGCAGATCCTTTCCTATATCGAGGTGATGTACTATTGCCCCAAAGTAAGCTGCTCTCCTACTCAGAGCATCCACGACTACATTGTACTTCCCTTTRACAGGCTTGAGCTCGAAGTCGTACTGATCTATCTCTGCGGCCCACCTAGAAAGCTTAGGTGTCATCTTGGCCTGGGTCTTTAACCATCGTAACGTTTCATGGTCCAAATAGACTTTGAAGTGCCTCCCAAGCAAGCAGTGTTTCCAGTGGTCTAATGCTTGCCTGAGAGCGTAGAGTTCCCTCTCATAGGTAGATGTCGCGACCTTCTCTGAAGGCATTCTGGCGGACATGAACTCTACGGGTCTATAGCCATTGCCATCGTCTTGCTGTAACAATGCGCCTATGCCGTACTGGCTAGCATCCGTAGTAACGACAAAAGGCAAGGACGGATCGGCGACCTTAAGGACCGGGTACTCTATCAACGCCTGCTTTAGCTTCTTCATGGCAGACGTACAGTCCTTGTCCCACTTCCAGATTGTCTCTTTTCTTAGCAATCTGCGAAGGGGCGCAGCGATGGTGGAGAAGTTTCTCACGAACTTCCTGCAGTAATTTGCTAAGCCCAGGAACGAGCGCAACTCTATTAGCGTACGTGGCGTGGGTCAATCTCTAATCGCTGCGATCTTGCTATCTTCTGGCTTAACGCCGTCTCCGTCTAAGACGTGGCCTAGATACAAAACTTGGGTCTTTGCCCAATCGCACTTCTTCGCATTGATCTTGAAGTTAGCTTCTCTCAGCTTCTSCAAGACCTGCCTGAGATGACCCTGATGCTCGTCGAGGGTCTTACTAAACACTAGAATGTCATTTAGGTACACTACAACAAATCTATCTAACCATGACCTAAACAAATCGTTCATACAACGCTGGAACGTAGCTGGCGCATTGGTTAGTCCAAAGGGCATCACCAGAAACTCATAGTGCCCGTACCTAGTCCGGAAGGCTGTCTTATACTGATCATCAGGATGTACCTCTATCTGATTGTATCCGGACTTTAAGTCTATCTTAGAGACGTACTTGGCCCCTTGCACTCGATCTAAGAGATTGTCTATCCTAGGCAGTGGCTCAACATTCTTTACTGTAATAGCATTCAGACCCCCATAGTCTATACACATCCTCAGCTCTCCCTCTTTCTTAGGGACAAAGAGAACAGGGGCTCCAAAATGAGACAAACTGGGCCTAATCCAACCCTTTTCGAGGAGCTCGTCCAACTGCTTCCGTAGCTCCTCTAACTCCCGCGGGGACATCCTATATACAGCACCCTTAGGAGTTCTACTGCCAGRCTCTATCTCAATACGGTGCTGGATGGGCCGCGGCACCGTGCCTGTCGKCGGCTTAGTTAAATCCTTAAACTCTTCCAGCAATTTGGCAATAGTAGGGTCTACGGGCTTCTCGTCCTTAGGCTCAGTCACTGGCCTAATATAGGCGACAAAGACCTGTTCCTCCAATTTYTCCTTCTTCACCAATCTGGCGAATGCGGGCGCGCTCAGGCAACAATGTGCCAAGGAATTCTCTACGCCTGACACATGGAACAGGCGGACAGTCTTAGCCTCGCCTGAAGAACTAGGGAGCCTACACTCGTGCTCCTTCAAATGGAGCGTGGCCCCGACTGCCTCTCCCCAATCCATTCCCAGAACAATGTCGAATGGGAGACTGTCTTCTACGAGGAGAGTTAGGGAGTGGAGGACCTTCTCCACTTTCCCATCTTTCTGCAGGCGGAAATACGCCTGGACTCCCTCTACATACTCCTCTACAACCATAGTATGATTGTCTGCGAGGATACTAACTATGGGATCTGCTAGCTTTTGGACTTTAAGCCCCAGCTTCAACTTCTGCAGCGCCTTCCTACTAATATAGCTGCGGGTGGCCCCTGAATCTACTAGGGCCCCTACTCTACCTCTAAAAGTCTCTACATCTACCAGAATTAGCTGTCCTTTCTGTTCTTTTTTCATCTTGGCCCAGACCGGCATCCTCTCCTTCAATTCTTCGGCCACGCCTGTGAGGGAGGTGTCTAAAGAGACCTTGACACAAGCAGTCTCTGGACAACTGTCTAGACACCGGCCTGCAACCTCTGCCATAGGCACATGTGGTGTGGGAGTCTCCTGCCGGCTAGCGCTATGTTCCCCACATGGCCTAATGGTAGGGGCAGTTGCTACCCCTACCGGCGGCTGCCTTTTGGCCCTTGGGCAGCCGTTCGGGTCTCTCTATACTTAGGACAATATTTGATGATATGGCCCGGGTCACCGCAGAAAATGCACTGA